CGAACACCCTTAGCAGGTATGCAGCTCACCCTTCATGCGACTCGCCAAATACCTCACGGTGCTTCGCGCTTGGTGATGTGAGAGCCTGGTCCGGTGAGAACCCGGCGTGCTCCGTCCCGGCTTTGTAGGGATGCGAGGTCAATGGTCTAATGACTACGGCATGCACGACTATGAGTACACCCCCCCCCCCCCCCCCCCCCCCTCGGGGTTGGGTTTTCGTCGCTTGGCAACGTTGTAAAACAAGCCGCCCCCCCCGGTGTTTGCCATCGGGGTTTGGGTTTTCGTCGCTTGGCAACGACGTTGTAAAACAAGCCGCCCACTCGGTGTTTGCCATCGGGGTTGGGTTTTCGTCGCTTGGCCACGACGTTGTAAAACAAGCCAATTCACTTCGTGAACTCGGCAACCAGGTTACCGGTTTTTTTTTTTTACCTCGGTTTTTTTTTTTTGGCGGTAACCATAATGGTGGTCGAGTAGATCATGTTGTGCGGGGTCGAGAAACCTCACTCCGCGCAACGGGGGATGATCGCACCACGTTGTGTTAAAATGGTCAAGCTTCCTCGAGGCAGTTACACAGTGCTTATAACTGTCTCTGGAAGTGAAAGCACCAGAAAATAAATTAAGTCATACGTAGCTGTCATCCGTACGCAAGGAAGTAAGCACAAGATGCCGAACACCCTTAGCAGGATGCAGCTCACCCTTCATGCGACTCGCCAAATACCTCACGGCGCTTCGCGCTTGGTGATGTGAGAGCCTGGTCCGGTGAGAACCCGGCGTGCTCCGTCCCGGCTTTGTAGGGATGCGAGGTCAATGGTCAAACGACTACGGCATGCACGACTATGAGTACCCCCCCCCCCCCCCCCCCTTTACTGCTGTAGTACCGTCGCTCACATGTCTTCCTACCCTACACAATCGGGGCGTCCTGGACGCCTGTGCCCATCAGGGGTGAGATCGAAAGAGCGCACCCCTGTATACCCCACAACATACCCATCTTCTGGCAGAAAGCACGACCGACAAGATTCTATGGGGGAATGATCGACAGGTATTTCCGTCGTCAACGCTACATCCATATGTCTATTTTCGACCACCGGCCAGCCTTCGACGTTCCGTATTCTCGAATATTTTATTGACCCAAGGAGTACGACAAATTGTTCCGATTTCCGTGCTCGATTTTTTCGGCAACGGGTGTAGAAGGTGTTACCGAAAAGAGGGTACACACACATGAAAAAACGGAGCGGGTATGGTACCATCACACGGAACACGGGAGCGGTTCTCGCTAGCCTCAAGATTATCTTTGAATCGGGTGTAGTAGATGGCCAGTGCCCAACACGTGCACCCCTCGGCGCAAATGGAGGGTGGCTGTGTCGAAAAATAGTTCACGAACAGCACTTTTAAGCCTGTACATATATATCGTCTCGTTTCGAGAATGCATCACTCCACGTCAGCAACGCTCCTCTAGTGCATGCCGTCGAGAGCCCGGGTTCGGGGCATCCAACGTGCGCGCAACATGGAAATAAAGCGCGCTAGGAAACCTCAGGCCGTGAGACCGAATTACGCTCACCCATGCCTGTCCCGATACACAGAGTGCCTGTTCCGCTAGAGCCACCTTCTCCATGCTCCAACAAAAACACCAACACCACCAATGCTCCACACCTGGTCGGGGCAGCACCCCCAGTGCTTGCCCCCGTCGTGGAAGACCGGGTTGAGCCTGTGGTACCGGCAGGAGTCACGCTGGTTTTCCGCCACTACGAAGTCCTTTTGGCACCCGAGGTTCACACAGCTGAGAGAAACATAGCCGGTAAGCGGGGCAACGCAGCGCAACACGCATATTCAACACGAGAGAGCGAGATAGAGAGAGAGAGAGACTAAGAGAAAGACCTAAATTTCGGCAGCCGGGGAGGCTTGGCACAGCTGTCAGGGTGCGACAAAAAAACAGGACAGAGTTTGCTACGATGTGCACAGCTGTAGCAACGGTGTTAATTTGTTAACCCTATACTCGCCATCGCAACGACAACCTACACGGCGCAACGACCCCGTGTTTCGAAGAAAAAGGAAGAAACGAAACCCAGCCATCGTGACGAAAACAGATCCAACACAAAAAACTCAGGTTATACACATGGTGGGGAACGGTTAGGAAATGGCAAGTAAACGCAACCATGATTGCCGTGGTAGCTTTCAAACGGCGAGCGCTAAACCCACGAAACACACAAAACTGGAAATCACCACGAAAACAGCAACGGTGACAACAACAAACCTCCTGTTGAGACCATAGCAACGACGAGAACATTCTCGCTGGTTGCGTCCACCCTCTTGGCTTCTGGGTGCACTATATATACCCCAAGGATCATCACTGGAAACAAAAAAACATGCCTCCATTTGTGCAAACCTTGCCGTCCCGTCGGGTCTCCTGGTGCACTTCTTCTTGGCGGTGATGCTCTTTACTGCGGACCCCGCCGCCGTCGCCGCCTCCGGGTTCTCGGCGTTGTAGTTGTCGATGGACTTTAGGACGGGCGCGGGCTGATCGATCGAGAGATGACGCCGGTGCCGAAAAAACGTTTTTAGGGACGGGGGGGTTGGAGGGGGGGACCGCCGTGTCAGCAAGAAGGGTGTGAACCAGTCTGAGCAATAGGGATGGTTGCACGAGCCGAGTCATGCGAGAGCTGTCCATCAACCTCACACTTCAGCAACACCAGTACGAAGTACCACTGTTTCTTTCGGTCAACACAATAACGAGACACGCTGCGAGACAACAAGGCTACGACGTGGGATTGGCGCGCGCACTGGCTTGGGCGAGCCAAGCACTGCCAGAGATGTCAAAGCGCAAAGCAGAAGGCGGGACTTGAACTAATCGGGGGTTCACATCACTTTCTTTGTGGATGGGAACGGCAAACCAGGGAGCTAAGATCTGGGGCAAGGCTCTCGATTGTTTTGTTACCCGCAACAACAGAGGACGATGGAAGCGGTGGTGGCGAAGGGATACGTCGGCGGGAGCGTGTCTCACCAACGGTTACGATTCGTGTGTTCAAACAGAAAAAGCGGCGTGGTGTATGTAGTAGCATGGGCCAAGATGGAGACTCACTTTTGCTGCCACCTCCTGCTCTGCTGAGGGTGGATTCGGCGGGAGGCGGTCCTTGGGATCAACCGTGCTGTGGCGCCCCACCTGGCAACCTTGAGCGCGAACAACAACAAAGAACCGAGGGGAAAAAAATGGCCAAAGCAACCAGCAGAGCAGGACGTATGCTAGGGTGTTATGGGGTACGCGCAAACGGGGTTGGATCGGATCATAGGTAAGACAGGAAAGGGTACACACAAAAGATGACCGGGATAAGATAGGTGAGGGGTCGGGTAGGGTACATGGGACTTTGATGAGGAGATGCCCCCAAGCACACAGGGAAAAAATACCGATACTTCCGGGAACGGAACAACTTCTTCCTTTCACCCGTCCTACGACCCCCCGCCCCTCTTTCTTGCCACCTGCCGTCATCACGACACCCAAATCACCTTGGAGCTGCTCGAACTCGTCCCAGTCGTACACGCGCTTCTTGCAGCAACTCCAACCCTTTCGAGTGTCGTGAAAAATGGGCGGTCCGGTGTGGAACCGACACGCCGTGTCGCTTTTTTTTTTTTCACACGTTTTGGAACCACCGGGAAGCGGACGGACGGTTCGAAGGGAGGAGGGCACAAAAGCAATGAACCGAGAAAGGTCGGTATCTCATCAGATTGAATGGGGGGGGGTCCAACAAAACTATGGAGGGGGGGGGGGCTCCTTGGTCACCTGCTTGTTGTGCACGTTGACTTTTGATTTACTCTCGCATTCCTATCAAGCCTCGGAGGGGAGGGGGGGAGTGCCCGACGAACACAACATGTTCGGGCATGCGCTCACGCTTGGTACCTTTCTAAGGGCGAAGAAAACGAAAAATGACAAGAACTGGACTGGTGACCCTTGACTGTGAGTGCGCACAACAGCTCATGCTCACGGATGACTCGCATACACATCTTGATTGCCAGAGAAATAAAGCTTATACCCCCGCCTTGTCAGAGCACGGTTGGAAAGCTGCCGTCCAGACGACGACAATGGCAGTGCACGGAACGACCACGCCGGAGTGTCGCGACTACTAAACGGTGAGGTCGTGATCGGGGATCCCACCTGTTATCTGCCTCGTCGTAGTACTGGTTGCACCCGAAGTTCCGGCATCTCAGCGCTCCCGCCCTTTTCGGTGCCGTAGCTGTTGGTGCGACACACGTCAAGTACACCAGGGCGTATCCGAAGCACACGCAAGGGTGAATTGATCGAAGGTCTACAAAAAATTGAAAATGCCATCGTGCAGCGAAGCCGGAGATCCAAATCTGTATTTTCTTCGGGAAGAAACACCATCGCCGTCACCAACAGCAGCAGCAGTAGCAGCAGCAGCAGCACCCAAAAACAGCTAGTGGGCCTTCAGGGCGGCGTAATCAGGATTTTCCCCTTTCTTTCCCACGGAACACCGCAGCGGGCAACACGGGTGGAAAGGTCAAAAGCTGAGGGCCGAGAACACCCTCCCAACAAGCAAACACAAGGCTGGCACTCTCTAAAATGATATTCCTACTGACGAAGCCAAGACATGAAGAAGCCAGGGACAACACATGCCGCGTTTAACCCGCGCCAATCTTCCGTTCTCTCGAGGGTGCGTTGCGGTCCCCTGTACACACTTGGGGCGAACGGCGAACGAGAGAGGGCAAAGCTCGAAGCTCTCACCAGTTACCGCCGAAGCGGCAGCGGCGGCAGCGGCGGCGGCGGCGGCGGCGGCGGCGGCGGCGGCAGTAGCGGCTGCCCCCATCCCCTCTTTCGTTGCTCCCGGCCGCACGAACACGTCCGCCCTGTCGGTAATGGTTGCACCGATCGTGTCTCCCTTGGCCAAAGCTTGTTCCTCCGCCCCCTGGTCCAAGCTCGCCCCCGTCTCCAGGTGGCACTCGTCGACGTCGAGTTGGTTGTCGGGCTTTCGCTTGTTGTACGAGTCGATGAAAAGCTGTTAGGTGTGCAACGGCGCGCGGGGACGGGAGGGCGTAAGACTGCGGTGATCATCACGTTGGAGACGATGACAAATGAACAAGAGGAACAGGGGTACTCGTTACAGCAGTAGGGGGCATACAACTGGGCGTGGGAGTATACTCGCGCTGTACTGCGTTTTGCGCGGCCGAAGTCGGTGGCTTCTAACAGTGAGTTGAATTTGTTCGGTGTGACCTGCCCGTGTTACTCATATGCTTACAAAACTACACCCAACACGCTCGACAAGCACTTGAGCCTGTTACCCGCAGGGGAGATGTCCCTATATGCTGTCTGGGAAATCGTAGACATACAGGTACTTTCTGACGCTATGAATCCATTGCTAATCTGTCTCAGACTCTTTTCTATGATAGAGATGGTTCGTTGTGTCATATTAAGAAAAAAAAAAAAAAACTAATGTACGGTTTGCTGAGCTACATATTTTGGGAGGACGGGAGGTTAGTCTTAAGTACCGCCGTGGGTTGGATAAGATACCATACCCCCTACACCGATTTTCAAGGCCCGCATGTCCCACGACGAAGAGGATGCCACGATCAGTTGATATAATTTCCAAAAACTCTCGAAGAGACGGTTCCAACGCCGCGATGGTCACTATGATAGCTTGTTTTTCGCTGCAGAGCGTAATCGAGCTTTGAAAATCGGTCAAGCAAGGGGGTGTGGTATCTTACGTATCCTAAGGTATCGTATAATTCTCGCACAACTTCGGCAGTGGTTGTTGACTGCAGGTTCGCGCCCGCCCGCAATACAGAAGACACCAGCTCTGTCCACATTCGTTCTTCGTGGATTCGCCAATCGCTCTTGGCGGCACATACACAGCAGCAGCCGCACGCGCGTGTTGGTGGCTTTGAAACCCCGGACAGATCGACACAGCAGATCTTTCTCGAAGCTTGTTACCGAAGCCACACAACATCCCAAGAGAGTCTCTCTCATCGCACCGCCTGGAACCTATAAGGTTTTGCCCTTCATGTCAACACAACATGTCGCTCACGGGTGGTTCAGAGAAAGCACCAGCAGCCCTCCTGTGTGCACTGCGGCGCTGGTCTTTGCATCTCGGAGCGATCGTACATCGTACAGCAGTACCTTGAGAAGCCTGACAGGAGACTCGTCGTTCCACTTCTTGGGCAGGGTCAGCTTCAGCGTCACGTGTAGTTCCGCATCACTCCCCTCCTCGAAGTGCACGTAGACCTTCATCTCTCTCCTTCTTTGACGTCGCCGCTGCTGTGCGAAGTTTGTGCTGTGCAAAAGTCGGCAGGCGTCTGTCGGCTGTGTCGCTGGCCTGCTGCGGTTGATTTGTCAATCACTGCTGTCGGCGCCAGGGGGTGCGGGCGGGGAGGTGAAAGCAGCATATGCACAACGGCGGAGCCCCTCAGCCTTGGTGATGACGGCAGCGACGGCCGCCGGCCTTTAGACGTGTTTAGACCGCTAGACAGATCTTCACCAACACTATCTAGCCATGCTGACACATGGCAGAGGGCTTGCGTTGGTGGGCGTGGTGAATGCCATGCGCGTCAGTTCAGGCTTCTTTCTAGCGGCAGGCTTGGCGACGACGGGGGCAAGGTGTGAGACATGATGCGATGAATCTCGGGTCTGCTTACAAGTAGTATCATGCGTGTGCCTACCTTCGTCGTGGGTGTTGGGACTCTGTCCTGCTGTAAGCAGTTGCAACGCGGCCGCGCCATGCTTGGCGTGGGTACTCGGCATTCACAGCACTGGTGGAAAGATACGGCTGAAAAAGATGAAGAGGAGATGACGGTGTTGGTGTCAGCTCGTTTTTTTTGCTTTCGCATCCCCATGGGTATCCTCGAGTACACATGACATGCAATGATGTCGATGCCGACTACTGCTGTTACTTGCTGCCAGCCTAACTTGCTGCCAGCCAACGCACGCTTGTGGTAGACCCGTACCAATGGGGCATCGAGATGTGAGTGCTGCTCGCTTGTGTGAGATTGATGAGCGTCGATTGGTCTCTACCCTACTGCTGTAACCGCGCGGTGCTGGTGTTGCTCTTTGCGCCGCAGCCAAACAGGTTCGAACCACGTAAGCAACCATCGGACTATTAGCAGCGGCAGCAGCGTCATCATGTCCGCGGAAGAGGCAGGTGCCCCCAGTACCGCTAGGCGAGTGCTGGTGACCGGCGCCGGTGGACGTACGGGGGGTATCGTTTTCGAGAAGCTCTTGGACAAGGAGGGTTATGCCACGAAGGGCATGGTTCGGACCGAAAAGGTGTGGGACATTCGCATACGGTAGTAAACCGTTGACGAGTTCTTCGCTGAACCTCCCCTCACTACTGCTGTTGTTGCCGTGGCTGCGGCAGCATCATATTGTATGTGTCTTTGGTGGCCTGCTGCTTGGTTTTCGGCTGCCACAGACATCCCAGCGTTATGGTTCAGTGCGTATGCCCCCAGGACTCGGTCAAGCTAAGCACTTTCGAAGACGTTTGGCATATCAACCGCCGGCTGTGAAATTGTCAGCAAGGGTCGGCAGGGTGCACAACACAGTAGTTTATTGAGAGAGACAAGACAGTCAGTAGTGTACTGAATCGTATGCGTAAGGAGACATGTGCGCCTTTCGCGCGCTGTTGCCCTCACCCAGAATTTCGGCGTTCATCTCATACGCAAATGGCGACCATGGTGCCGGTCGGGTATGTGCAAACGAGACTCCCAAGCAAGTGTTGCTTGAGATATGGAGCGCCGTGTGTGCACCAGAGCGAGCTTGATGCGCTCAGGGCACTCTCAAGTGGCATCCATCGATAGGAGAATCACAATTTCACCGCCCCCGTCCTTAGATGTAGGAGCCTACAACGTGCAGCACGTAGTACACACCGAAAGACGGATGTACAGAGTAGTTGATGTAGTTTTTCGACGACCACGATGCTGGCTGTGGAACCAGTATACAGAGGATTGCGCTAACTTTTCTACCTCGCTCGGGTGGTATTTTGCCTTGTGTTTCTGGCGATTGGCCATGCGTTTCCTTGCTATCCCGCCGTGCCTCCCGCTTCAGAGCGCGAACAATCTCAAGAAGAAGTGCAAGACCGAGGTCCTGGACAGCAACATTGCTATCGCGGACCTGACCACTCCCGGTTTGCTGGCGGCGGCCCTGGAGGGTATGGAGGCAGTTGTGCTGTGCACCAGCGCCGTTCCGAAGGTAATTTGAGCGCGACACGTGAGGTAAACGGTGCCTTGGACAGCAGCAGTGTCTTTCCAGCAATTGTTTCAGTGCGTAGCTGTTGCATAACATGAACACGTGTGCAACCAGGTGCTGTCGGTCGGTCGGTCTGTCTGTTTCTCTCTCTCTCTCTCTCTCTCTCTCTCTCTCTCTCTCTCTCTCTCTACGTGGCTAGCCTCGTCTGCTAGTTAATACTTATACTTTTCACACCACATGTTTAATCTGGCCACCGTCGTGGCTCGACGAATACACTCCCACAGCAGCGATGTAACGTGTTGAAGACTCGCTTCGTCGTGGTGTGGTCACGCTGACTCTCGCGAACCTTGTCCTCTCCGGACACACGGTGGATTCTCGAGCAGCCTAGAATAGTCCCACGCGCTAGCGCAAAGTGCCGCCTGACTGACTCGCCGAACCACCCACGGTTCTTGGCGCTTGGCCCCTTGGCTTGCCCGATATCATACAACTCGCCCGATGCTCTCTACGCTCGGGGTCTTCTGTGACGGTGTGAACGCGTGGGGGGGTTTGAGGCCGTGTACGTCCCCGACTTGCCCCACGCCCCCCTCTCGCGGGCTCCGCACCCCAACCGCGCCCGCGTCCGTTCGTGGCACAGATCTACCCGTTTTCGATCGCGAAGGTCATGTTCAAGAAGATGATTCTTCGCTCGGAGGACCCGGGGAGGCCCAAGTTCTACTGGTGCGAGAACGGGACTCCGGAAGAGGTGCGTAGTAAGAAAAAAAAACGGTATGTGTGAGTGCGGTTTGTGTAGGGTTTGGTGTTGGTTCTACTGGTGCGAGAACGGGACTCCGCAAGAGTTGCGTACATAAAAAAAAAAAAATGGTATGTGTGAGTGTGGCTTCGTAGTGGTTCAGTCCGTGTTGTTACATTTTTTGTCTTGGGAGGACGTGCCACGCCGTGACATTTCGGTGTTTCACAACATTCGTTGGTTGCACGCATCGTGCAATGGAAACATCGATTGTGTACAATTTTTATTTTTGTTCATTGCCCACGTTTCCTGGACGCGTGTCTAGTCTTCTTTTCAGCCTGCCGCTCCCCGTTGCGTTGTGCCCAGCGGAAGATAGGGCCAGCGCGGAGAGGCTACTTTGTTGTACGGTATGTACGCCTTGGATGCACTTGCCCATGTGTTTATGCACCTCGGGTGTACCTGGCTTGTGTGTACGAAGACACTTCTTCGGTGGTTGTCGCTCCTGTGTGATACTGTTGTGTCGCTCGTGGCTCATGAAGAGGTACCCCGTCCCTACCCTTGCCTGTTGGGTCGGAAAATGATAAGAATCAGATGGACTGCAAAGGGGTGTGTCCGTTTGAGCTCGCTCTTCTCGCCCTTGTTCGTCGCCGCCAGTATAGCCCATGGACTGAGGCCGCGGTGACCCTGTCGTTCCTCTTGCTCCTCCGTCTCAGAGGGGTCCGTGCGACCTCATTCGCTAACTTCTAGAGGCGGTTTGTTGAGGCGGCATGTTCTGATGCTGGGATATCTTGTGGCGTATCGATCCTATCTCACCCTATGTTTTTGTGTTTCCTGTACGCCTTTTGTTGTGTGACTCCGTGATGGGCCGGCCGCTCGCTTGGCGGGGGGGGCAGGTGGACTGGTTGGGCGCGAAGGCTCTTATCGACGCCGCAAAGTCTGCCGGCGTCAAGCACTTCGTGTACGTGGGGTCCATGGGGGGCACGCAGCCGGACAACTTCCTCAACACGATCGGAAAGCAGGAGGACGGGACCGGCGGCGACATCCTGTTGTGGAAGAGGTGGGTAGTCGTCGTCGTTGTTGCAACAAAAACGCGCTCAGAACCATCTGGACGTTTCGCCAAGTAGTCCAAGGTCATCTGTTATCCACCCGGGGCCAGGTAGATAAAGACGTTCGGCGTGGTGACAAGAAAAGGCTATTTAGTTGCCACACGTCAGGTAGGACAAGCGAGTTGCCTTTTGTCTTGTTATTCACCCGGGGCCAGGTAGATACGAAGTTCGGCGCGATGACAGGAAAAGGCTAGTTGCCACACGTCAGGTAGGATAAGCGCGTTGCCTTTTGTGGTGTTTGCGGAGTATCGGACCCGGCGCCCCTTAACTTTTCATGTCTCTCCGCTTTCTCGGTTAACGTCCAACAATCATGACCGAGCACAACCACAAGCAGCAGCGAGAAGGTGGTTGTTGGTCAAGTCGGTTGGCCTGTCTTGACCGAATCAGCAACAGCTTTTGGGTAGGAAAACAACCACAGAGGAAGGAGCGCCCGAAAAGCCGGGGACTGTTTGAAGCCCCTTCCCTGTGAAGAAGGGTCGTCCAGCTGCTGGTTTCTGCAACCACCCCCCCCCCCCCCCCTCCCGTCCTTGAAAACAAAAAGGGCGAAGAATACCTTATCGCGTCCGGAAAGACGTACACGAACATCCACCCGGGGGGCCTCCTGGACAAGGAGGGAGGCAAGCGGCAACTGGTGCTTGACACGGACGACAAGATGCTCGAGAGGAAGTCTCGGAGCATCCCGCGCGCGGACGTCGCACAGGTGAGCGGAGACGAATTTTTTCTGGTTGTCCAATATTTGCCTACCTTGCGTAGTTGCTCGTACTAAGACTCTTTGCCTTTTCAACCGAAGCTATATCCGATAGGGGTTCACGCAGGATGATTCCTCCGTGGTGCATGCGATGCTTTCACGAGCGAGATGTATTGGCAGCTCCTCCCCTCAAGCGTGTGTAATCACAAACAAGCGATTTTTACACGAATAGGGTACGAGATGAATAATTCATTACTACAGTTTTTTTTGGGTATGTTAGCCTGTGACCACGGGAATCGACGGTCAAGTGTTAGACTAGTATGGACAGATGAAGGTACTGGGTAGAGAGAACGGAACGTTTTTAATGTGAAGACAACAACAACAACAACAACAACAACAACAGCAACAGGCTTCGCCCCAAACTCTCTCCCCACCTTCCTCTCTGGTTTCTATGCGTTTCGTGTGATGTTGTCCCACCCATTGGTTCTAGGGTGCTGTGTTGACGGGCTCGGCTCCCCCGCCAAGACTTCTTTGGTTCGACAACGTCTCACCCTCGCATGCACGACCTTATTTTTCGCCGTTGAACCCGTTTGACCGCTTCGTTTTCGATCGTTTTGCTCGCCGTGCGCCCCCTCGACCTAACCACGTTTTTGCCTCGCCTCACACACCCTACATTGCGCGTGCCGTGTTTTTGCTTTACGGCCCCCCTTGGTTCTGCTATTTTGTCGTGCCGCCCAGCTCTGCGTGGAGTGCTTGGAGATCGACGCCGCAAAAAATCGGTCGTTCGATGCGGCCAGCAATGAAGAAGGAGAGGTAAATTGCTCGTGCTGTTCGTACCATTTGTTTCTGTGCAGTGAATGTGTGGAGGAAAGGGGATGGAATTTTGAGTGCGACATGAGTCAGGTTTGTTGACAACAGTTTGTAAAGAGGAAGGAGAGGTAGAACTGTTGTTCCAGCGCTTGATTGTGCAACTGCAACCCTGACAGCGCGGCTGTTCCGGTAGAGCACACTAGCGTTGACAACTGTTTTGACCCTGGTGTTTCCCAAAAGCGTCTTTCCCATTTGGCGGGGAGCCGCACCTCAACCCCCCCCCCCCCCCCCCC